GGAAATTCTTCCAAAAGTACAAGCTCACACTGTGATGATTACACAGCATATTTGGTTCTCTACAACACCAAGAGTCTAGGGCAAAGCTTTCCATATTCTGTTGTGACACATTCGTGTGTCCACTACAGCATATTGATGTGTTACACAAATCTCTTGAATCTATGTGAAACACGCAATAAATTGTGTATTTTAAAAAATATAAATGAAAGATTTTCTTGAGATATGTTGTGTCCCAATACATGTTGTGTCTTACAATTTATTTATGTGTCCATATCTCTTATAAGGGGTTGGTTTGATAGTAAAACTGAATCATTGCTGCAAAATGATGAGTGTCTAAAAAGTGTGTCACCAACATGAAATGTTTGGAAAGCTGTAGTCAAGTGAATGTGTTACGTAGCAAAAACTTGGGAATGGGTATTTACCTTATAGGGGGCTATACATAGATGTTCTGACCGATTTCAAATTTGTAAGCATCATGCACTACTTAAAGCTTTGCAGTGACTTGACAAAGTATATCTGAATGGAAGATCTTTTGGCCCACGGCTCTCAAGTCTCTCCAGACTCTGATCTGCCAGGATGAGAGGCAGAAATGCATTTCTTTCCCTAAATAAAACTGGATCCTTGATTCATCAGAACTGCTCTTCTAATTTGTCCCAGGGAAAAGAAAGCCTTCTTCATATCCAAAGAGGTTTTGTAGAAGAGATCTGGCAAGTAGAGGAGGGGCCCTTTCTCTTCCTCTTTGTGTGGTTTATTAATTATTACTGAGAAACAGCAGGTAACAAACATAAGATTGCTGAAATGTATTTCATTGTCTCATTTCTGAAGCCCCCTAATTGTTTGCATTTGTAAATGAAACAATTGCTGCTTAAGTCAGTGCCACCTTCCACTGCCAAAATGTCACCAAATTATCTGGCAATGACATTGTACAATTGGCAGGCAGGCAAATTCCTACACCAGCAGGTACCAATCTTCTAAGCATATTTAACTGTGGAAGTGTTCATTAGAAAGTAAAAGTGAGTAATCTGGTTGCTATTGCAACTATAAATTCATTAATAAATTCACTTAATTAAGCAAATGATTAAAAAAACTAGAATAATGTCTGCAGAACATTATAGTAACAAAAGATTTTGAACAAATTGTTGCACCAACAATGGCAGCCCCGGTCTTCTTTTTGGCACGTTTCTCTCTTTCACCCTCCATTCCTGCCTCTTCAAATTCACAGCTGACCTCCAGCTGGAGCACTCAACGGCCAGGGCTTCCCAGTTCTCAGTGTCTATGCCAGAGTTTTAAAGGTTGGTTTTGAGCCCATCTTTAAATCTCTTTTCCTGCCCACCAACATTCCGTTTTCCATTCTTGAGTTCGGAGTAGAGCAACTGCTTTGGGAGACGGTGGTCGGGCATCCAGACTACGTGGTCAGTCCAGCAGAGTTGATGGCGGAGAACTATCGCTTCAGTGCTTGTGGTCTTTGCTTCTTCCAGCACGCTGATATTTGTCCGCTTGTCTTCCCAAAAGATTTGCAGGATTTTTCGGAGGCAGCGCTGATGGAATTATTTCAAGAGTTGCATTTGACATCTGTAGACAGTCCACGCCTCGCAGGCATATAGCAGGGCTGGGAGGACAATAGCTTTATAAACAAGCACCTTGGTATCCCTACGGATGTCCCGGTCCTCAAACACTCTCTGCTTCATTCAGAAAAATGCTGCACTTGCAGAGCTCAGGCAGTGTTGTATTTCTGTGACAATGTTGACTTTGGTGGAGAAGTGGCTGCTAAAGTAGCAGAAATGGTCAACATTTTCTAATGTTACACCATTAAGCGGTATTTCTGGCATTGGAGAGGGATTGGCTGGTGCCTGCTGGAAGAGGACTTTGGTCTTCTCGATATTCAATGACAGGCTGAGCTTCTCGTATGCTTCTGCGAAGGTACAGGGTGAGGCAGCATAACTTTCTTTTTTAAAATGGGTGCCATTCAGTCGGTTGGAGACGTAGCGGAGCGCTAGTGGTCTTGTTCGAGAGGCGGGAGTATAAAGTTTTGTCCTGACACAGTTCAGTCGCCATCATGCTTTAGAACAGTGAGGAGCGTACTTTTGCTGTTGAGGCCTACTTTTTGAGCGGACTTGGAGTAGCTGGCCTGCTCTCCAGATTTGGCCCCTTGTGATTTTTTTCTATGGGGTTTTTTGAAATCCAGTATTTATGTGAACCGTCCAAGGACCCTACAAGATTTGAAGACCAACATCCAGGAAGAAATTGCCAACATAACGCCTGCTATGCTGGCAAGAGTCATGACAAATGCCAGAAATCGGTTTACTCAGTGTATGGAGACTGGGGGATGTCACCTACCTAATTTGATCTTCAAAACTACGTAAAACAAAACTTTAGGTATGCGCCTACATTATATATATATATATCTTCCTGATTCATACAATGGGTTTTATTAAGTTTTGAAAAAAAGGGTGCTGCCTCACCCTGTATTTAGAGTGGCTTAGGTCTTCTTCTGAATGTATACAGACGATGTTGTCATCAGCATACTGGAGTTCTATAACAGATGTTGTTGTAACCTTGGTTTTGGCTTTCAGTCTGCTGAGGTTAAATAGCTTGCCATCTGTCCGATAGATGATTTCCACTCCGTTGGGAAGCTTCCCATAAACAAGGTAGTATCATAGCGATGAAGATAATAAAGTTGGGGCAATAACACATCCCTGTTTGACACCTGATTCCACCTTAAATGGGTCACTTTGGGAGCCATTGCTGTCCAAGACTGTTACCATCATGTCATCATGGAGGAGCCGCAGGATGTTCACAAATTTGTTAGGGCACCCAATTTTTTGGAGGATGGTCCAGAGAGCGCTGCAATTCACTGTGTCAAATGCCTTTGCAAGGTCAATGAATGTCCCTGTCTTCACAACCGTGGACAGCGAGTGGAGAGGGGAGGCCTGGTCTCTGAGAGGTCCCTTCTATCTTGTGGGGTTCCTCAGGGGGCCATTCTCTCCCCTCTGTTGTTTAACATCTATATGCGACCACTTGCTCAGCTGGTTCGAGGTTTTGGGCTTGAGTGTTATCAGTACGCCAATGACACTCAGCTGGTGCTGAAGATGGAAGGCCGACCGGACTCTGTACCCGATTATTTCCATCAGTGCCTCGAGGCCTTACTGGATGGCTGCGTGCCAGCAGGTTGAGGGTGAATCCAGCAAAGACGGAGATCCTATGGCTGGGTCGACGGGCAGTGGGGATATCCAGCTGCCTACCCTGGATGGCGAGGCGCTACGCCCGTCATCATTGGTAAAGAGTCTGGGAGTCCTTTTGGACCCTCTGCTGACGATGGAGGCCCAGGTCTCCGCTGTTAGCAGAACCGCCTTCTTTCATCTGCGGCAGGCTAGACGGCTGGCCCCCTACCTGTCCAGGGACGACCTAGCTACGGTGATCCAGGCTACGGTCATCTCAAGACTGGACTACTGTAACGCCCTCTACATTGGCCTTCCTCTGTCGGTGATCCGGAAGCTCAAGTTGGTACAAAATGCAGCTGCTCGGCTTCTTGCGGGAATTCCGATGAGATGCCACATAACCCCAATCTTACTGCAGCTGCACTGGTTACCAATTGAGCACCGGATCACTTTCAAAGTGATGGTACTCACCTTTAAGGCCTTGCATGGTCTGGGGCCGATGTACCTGAGGGACCGCCTCACCCCTACCAACCCCAGAGATCCCTCCGTTCTGAAGACCAAGATTTGTTGGAAATTCCCAGTGTCAAGACCTTGCGTCTAACAGCAACCAGATGCAGAGCCTTTACAGCAGTGGCACCATCACTCTGGAATACTCTGCCACCTGAAGTCCGTGCCTTGCGGGACTTATCAGCTTTCCGCAGGGCATGTAAGACATAACTGTTTTGACAGGCCTTTGATATTTGATATTTCTGTTTTTAAATTGTTGTTCGCTTTTAGCCTGTTCTTGTAAGTCACTCTGAGCCCCAGGGGAGTGGCAGCATATAAGTTCGAATAATAAATAAATAAAATAAATAAATGTACAGTGGTTGATTTTGTTCCCTGCATTTTTTTTGGAGTTGTTGTGCAGTGAATATATTATTAACAGAGAAACACTGGGGATCCCTCCAACGGGGAGAAGAACAGAGAAATGAATAAAGCAGGCCCGTAGCCAGGATTTCGTTTCGGGTGGGGGGGGGGAATTTTTCGAGGGGGGGGGGGGGGGGCTGAGTCTGAGTGAAAGAGGGTCTACTCTGGCAAACCTTTTGTATCATTACCCCAATACCCTCATGAGATATATTGAGCATGGTGATCAGATCATTATATGAATAAACATAACAGTTTAAATAATGTACCAGTAAGGCCTTTTCGCAGACCAGCATGAACATTTCGGGAGGCTGAAGCCTGGAATAAATGAAACAGGGGCGGTTTTTTTCCCCCTTCTTCTATCCCTGGAGCGCTCTACATGGCAGGCCGCCCTCGAAAACGAAAGTGGAACTAGCCAGAAGTTGAGTTGTTTTGTAAGAAACCAAACCAACCCCTGGACTTGGCTTGGTTTTAAAGGAGGGCGGGGGAGCGGGAGAGAGAGCGAGCAGGGCGCCTCTGCTCCCTGAGGGGAATAAACTTCCTCAAAATAATAATGGGAAGGAGAAAAACAACAACACACCTCTCCACTCACCTGACGCCCCCAATGAATGAGGGAGACAGGTGAGAGAAGCTCCCTTTTCTCCTCAAGGTGCGCTCAATCTCTCAGGGCTGAGTTTTGCGACTCGTGCTTTCCGCCTCCCGCGAGGCTCTGCACGCACGCGCGCGCGCGAAGGGGCCAGGCGTCACCTGGGGGGCACCTGCGCCTTTCCCACGGAGGGGGGAGCCCTGCCCTGCCTTCCCCTCCGAAGGCGAAGGCTTGGCCATGTAAGGAGGCTTGGGCGCTGGGCTCGTGGCGTCATCGGCGGAGGCGTGGCCTCGGGGCCTTGGGGGGCGGGCTCCCAGCTGGCTCTCGGCCAATGGCGGGCGGGAGGGGCGGGGTCTGTCAGCTGGGCTCCTCGCCGCCCGGCTGCCTCTTTCGCTGTCGCGCGCCGGGCCCCCGGACTGCCAGGAGGACTGGGAAGGCACGCGCCAAGGCCAGGGCGGGAAGCCTGAGGTAAAGGCACGGAAGGGAAGGGAAGGCGTCCCTGCGCAGGGAGTTCCGCAGGCGCCGACGGGTAAGCCCTGGCGACGCCTCTCTCTACTAGCCCTCGCCTCTACTAGGGAGGCCCGCTGCTGTTTCCCCCCCCCCCTCTTTATTTTTGCCCTCCTTTCATAGGAAGCCCTGGGAACAGTTTACAACGCAGACCAAACATGACAGGAGCAATGGGTGGAAGGGAGGGGTATTAAACACTCTTGGCCCAAGAGCAGTGTCAGTGTGTGGTGGATTTTGGACCTTGGCATTACTGCAAGGAGAGGCAGGTACTTCTTCTATTATTTGTTTATTTATTTGCTGTATTTGTATACCGCCTTTCTCAGCCCCTAGGCGACTCAAAGCGCTTAACAGCAATATTTTTACTACTAGTAGTACTATTTTAGAATGGCATGTAGAGAGGACCATAAAGGTGTATTATTGTTATTTTAGAATACCATGTAGAGAGGATCCTAATGGTGTCTAATCATGATTAATATTATTAGAATTGCATGTAGAGAGGACCATAAAGGTGTATTATTATTATTATTATTATTATTATTATTATTATTATGTTAGAATGACATGTAGAGAGGATCCTAATGGTGTCTAATCATGATTAATATTATTGTATTAGAATTGCATGTAGAGAGGACCATAAAGGTGTATTATTATTATTATTATTATTATTATTATTATTATTATGTTAGAATGGCATGTAGAGAGGATCATAATGGTGTCTAATCATTATTAATATTATTGTATTAGAATTGCATGTAGAGAGGACCATAATGGTGTATGACTATTATAATAATTATAATTATAATAATATTAGAATACCATGTAGAGAGGATCCTAATGCTGCTAATCATTATTAATATTATTGTATTAGAATTGCATGTAGAGAGGACCATAAAGGTGTATTATTATTATTATTATTGTTGTTATTATTATTTTAGAATACCATGTAGAGAGGATCCTAATGGTGTCTAATCATTATTAATATTATTATTGTATTAGAATTGCATGTAGAGAGGACCATAAAGGTGTATGACATTATTTTTACTATTACTGTTATTATGTTAGAATGCCATGTAGAGAGGATCCTAATGGTGTCTAATCATTATTAATGTTATTGTATTAGAATTGCATGTAGAGAGCACCATAAAAGGTGTATGACTATTATTATTATTATGTTAGAATGGTATGTAGAGAGGATCCTAATGGTGTCTGATCATTATTAATATTATTGTATTAGAATTGCTTGTAGAGTAGACCATAATGGTGTCTGGTGATGATGATATTAGAATGGTATGCAGAGAGGACCCTAATGGGGTCTTCTTCTTCTTATCATCATCATCATCAACAACAACAACAACGCCATTATTATTATTATTATTATTATTATTATTATTATTATAATATGAGAATTGTATGTAGAGAGCACCATAAAGGTGTATGATGATGATGATGATGATKATKATKATKATTATTATTATGTTAGAATGGCATGTAGAAAGGATCCTCATGGTGTCTGAAGATCCCAATCCTCTTGTTTTCAGAGTGCTGTGCTCCTCTGCAAGCTCCTCCTGCCATTTCCTTTCTAGAGCCTTCTCCCTTGCCTCGCCGCCCCCCCCCCCCCAGAAACAAGCCTGTCTTTTGGTAGATAAACAGCCTCCCCCTGCACCTGACATTTGAGGCTGTTCCCAAGCCAAGTGTCAGGAGATACTGGGCGCACACAGGCATTATCTCCTTAAAGGATAGCATCGGAGTGATTGTGTGTATGTGCGAATGGGGGGGGGGGTGTCTTTAGATCCCATCTATCAGCGGCTGATGTATCTTTAGGTCTGTCAGTGTTATGTAATATTCTGACAACTGGAAGTGGTGCTCCATTTTTTGCCTGCATGTCTTAGAATTTTCTTTTCTTTCCCCCCTTGGATTGTGCACATCTTCTCTTTGGGTGTCTGTTTTGCTTCTCAGGAGACTGTCAAGGCAGATCGGGCAGGAGCAGCAGCAGCAGCTGGGAAGCCTTCCGCAGCTGTTTCTCACCACACTTAGCAAGATCGAATCCATAGGGAAGCCACTGACAGCTGGATCCTTCGAGGGGGTTCCCCCCCTTGAATCCCCCCTCCTCATTTCATTCCGTTTATTTAAAATACTTGAAGAAGCCCCTGTCTGGAGAGAGGTTGTTCTCACTGGATTACTTCAGTCTCAATGGCTGATTTCATTCCAGCCAGAATGAGAGTGAACAATGTTTACACATTTCCTCTGTGTGCTGTTGATGTCTGTGCGCTACACGTGATCTGGGTTGCAAGCCTCAACCCATTCATTCCACGTCAAGCCCGTTGCTTTTCAGAGAGGCTGCAGTGGGGTAGATCGGGAGGACTGGGGAATACATGGAACATTAACATGAATAAGAAGCAGTGCTTAGGTCCCAAGATGAAAAACACACTCCCTCAGGTGAAATCAATGCTCTAATCCTGAATATTTGGCTTTCACTCCTCATTAACCCATGGTTCACAAATGTGTATGATAAAACATACAGGCATCCTCCTTCTTTGTGGCTCATTGAGGGGCATGGTGGTTACTGCTTTCCAGTATTGTGACCATTGATTAGAACCATGAAACAAATACACGGGTACAGTTCGTGTTTCAGTTATCATATTCATAATTTTAAACAATCAATAACAACCTACATTTTCTGATAGTGTATTTGATATTTTGAAAGACTATTTCCTTAACAAGATTTATTATTAACTAGCCGTCCCCTGCCACGCATTGCTGTGGCCCAGTCTGGTGATTTGGAAAATAAAGTGTTGGTTTCTAATATATGTAATTTCTTGATGCTTGTGGCTAAACAGTATTCCTTGTTGTTTCTTTGTCAGTGTTGTTGTGGAGATTGTCTGGTTTGCCTCCTCTGGAACATGCAACATATCATTGTTCTTCTTTAGGAGTCCCTTTCAAATCTATGATACTCTATCTGTGTGTGTGAATCATATATATCTATGGCTGGATGGCTCTTTGTCAGGAGGGTTTTGATTACATTTTTTTGACCTGAAGAGAGTTGGACTGGATGGCCTTAAGTATTTTCTGTTGGGCATGGGTGTTCTGTGTGGGAACTTTGCCCCAATTCTGTCATTGGTGGAGTTCAGAATGCTCTTTGAATGTAGGTGAACTATAAATTCTAGTAAATACAACTCCCAAATATCAAGGTCTATTTCCCCTCAAACTCCATCTGTGTTCATATTTGGGCAAATGGAGTATTTGTGTCAAGTTTGGTCCAGATCCATCATTGTTTGAGTCCACAGTGCTGTCTGGATGTAGGTGAACTACAACTCCCAAACTCAAGGTCAATGCCCACCAATCCTTTCTAGTGTTTTCTGTTAGTCATGGGAGTCCTGTGTGCCACGTTTGGTTCAATTCCAGCATTGGTGGAGTTCAGAATGCTCTTTGATTGTGGGTGAACTATAAATCCCAGCAGCTACAACTCCCAAACGACAAAATATTTTTTTGTGTGTGATGGTCACTCCTTGGGTTAGTAGGTGTCTTGTGGCTAAATTTTGCAGCAGTTCGTCCAGTGGTTTTTGAGTTATGTTAATCCCACAAACGAACATTACATTTTTATGTATATAGACTAGCTTAGGTACCTGATGTTGTCTGAGTTAGGTATTATGTTATGCTATTTATGAGAAATAGTCATCTGGTTTTGGATTTTATGAATGGTCCCATTAGAAAAACACATGGTTCTTCGGACGAGAGCAGACTACAACTCCCTTCATCTATCTTTCAGTCCCCCGAATCCTGCCAGTATTTTAGTTAGATTATGAAGGGTATGTGTGCCAGGTTTAGCCCATATTCATCACTGGTGGAATTCACACAGGTCTCTGCATGTGAGCAGATTACAACTCCCATCATCCTCTGTCAATCCCCCAAAACCACATAAATGTTTTAATTTAGCATGATAGGTATGTGTGCCAAGTTTGGTCCAGATTCATAATTGGTGAGACTTACACTGCTCTCTGGATGTGGGAGCCGTCCTGGAAAATACATAGATCGATAGATGCACAGATACATATTTTCACTTTCATTACCTACATGGATTTGAAAAATGATTGTATTCTTCAATAGTTTAAGATAGCCACTCTTTCCCTGCTAGAATGCCCTTTTTTTCAGTTTTGGAGACATAAATGCAGGATACATAAATAGGACCCTCAAACAGCTATCTTGCTTCTTACTCATTAGATGTAAGGAAGCCTGTTCCATTAAATGGGGCATACCATTTCAGATTTTAAAGAGAAGATGTGGTATGATGTATGTAGGCATTTCCTGAGAATTTTTTTTGTCTGAGTGAAGTTCATCAGCAAACTGGAGAAACCCTTGACATGGAGCAGAGTGGCAGTGGTCATTTAAAATAAGGGCTTCCTTCATAAGTTTCCCTGCAGAGATACTGCGGTGGTCATTTTTAATAGGGACACCCTATTAAAAATGGCTACTGCAGTCTCAATAGAGAAACGTATACAGAGAAAGGCCCTTCTTTAAAATGACCATTGCTACTCCACTCCACCTCAGTCAGCTAGAATGGCTTCCCCAGGTTGTTTCTGAATTCTGTTCTGGCTTAAAAAGGAGATGAGGAAGGAGAGAAGACTGCCTTTCTTTCTGTGGTTTGGGAAAGGAAAGGGTAATGGGGTGGGAGCCCTTCTGTGCTCTTTGTCTTGTCACTGCCACCATACTTGGTCCCTATTGACCTTTACGTAAGTTGACCCAGTTTTTGAGGGTAATTTTTTATTTAAAAAAATTCAACCCCTCCCCCCAAATTTTTCAGGTTTAAAAAAACCTGGTTTACTCATTAATTTTAACTGGTTAACCAAATCCCCATGCTAAGTCTATGAGACACAAAAAATTAAGAGTCCCTCCAGAAATGCAAGCACCAGTCTGGGGGTGGGGGTGGGGTTAGGGGTCCAACCCCCCCCCCCATTTTTCTGGCTACGGCCCTGAGAGAAAGTCACAGATAAAAAGGGTATAAGTAGTCATCCATGGCCTGAAGGA